AGAACAATTCACGCGTACGTATGTCCGCGCGAAAAAAGGGACCTCGCTCGATGCCCAGAATATTTCAAAAGTCGAAAGAGAAATTTTTCGCGATATGATGTATACTCGACAATGACAACAATCTAGAGGCTACATGCCCATTCATTGGACTCCGACGTACTTCACGTCGTCTTGAATTTTGCCTGGTCTCTTCACGCTCAATCACCTCTCTCTCTCTCTCTCTCTCTCTCTCGCGAAAGTATCACAGCGAATATATCCTCGCGGTGTGGTGCAGTGCATACACACACACATACATCATTGCCGAGGCAATATTATCACTGCGCGCCGCTGCGCAGTCGTTTTAATCTTAATTTCACGCTCGATGCGCGTCTTTGTGAGAGCCAAGCGCCGCCGCCACCGCCGCCGTTGTTGAGGAATTTAGTACACTTGCCGCGCGCGCACCGCAGCGTTTTATCGCTCGATTCACTTCGCGTATGTAATGTACGGGCAATTAAGGGAGGCCCGCGCACGGCTCGCTCTTGCTTCATGTACATCACGTGCATATAACTCATCGTAATTGATAGTTCTAGAATTGAATTTTCGATTGTTCCGTTTGCTTCTTTCTTTTTTCTTTTTATTTTAATGAAAAGAGCTGTAATATACCGCGTGGTAATTATGCGCTTGCGATATATCGAACGTATGTAAGAGCGCGCGGTGGGTGGTAAGTCGTGCTGCTGCGCGCACCGGGTGAAACGGATTCGTGTACGTACGCATGTACTTTCGTGATGTTTCGCGCATTAAAAAATCATTCTACCTCTTTGAGTTTATAATGTTGGTTAATGCTTACTTATCGAAAAAGCTCTGCGATGAGTGTGAAAACGATTTTTTTCGTTTCTCATTTAATAATCGACGAGAAGAAAAGTTTTTTTATATTTATTTTAAAGCAAGCAGCTTCGTGTATGTATCAAACTTGTCTATTTCGATTGTGCGATGACAAATTTATTGTCTCTCGCCACCTGGCGTTCGACGCAACAACGAGCCATGGCAGCGGCGTATAGTATCGACGTATTCTTTACGTATCACAAGTTTATAACACTATTGTTTGAATTGTATAAATAGTTGAAAATTTATAAAATCTTGGAAAAATTATAATCAAAAATACCTGCTGGAGCATTGACCCATACGTTAACGTGAACCTTAAAAGCTCATCAAATGCGCAGAAGTTCATTTAGAATAAAATACCAAAGTCGGGTTGATTACAAAAGTTACATTTTATTTTTTACCGAGTGTTTCATTAGTAAACACGAACCTTCGCGTTTTCAATCAAAGGATACACCGCTTAATTGGACAAAAATATATTAGTAAATATATTATATATTCAGTAAAAAGGGCGTCGACGCTATCCGTGAGATTCGATTTTTGCATCGCATTGCATCGGCGGCATCTTCTTAAAAAACATTAAAGTTGTAATGGAAAAGTGAAATGAAAATGCGGTTCCCTCCGGAGAAAGAGAGTAAAAAAAATTTTTTTTTTAGTATTTCCGATGGCATATCTCATTTTTATACGTACTTTATACCATGTAAATTTCATCCTAGTTTCATAAAAGTTTTACGAGCCGTGCATACTCCGACACGATGAATTTGAGATTTTTTTTCAAACAAGACAAATGTTTGTTTCAAGTTCTGTGACAAATTTTGAATATCGATTTATCCGTAAAATAATGTCGTTGCACACATAAAAGTTCACAAATTTTTCGTCTATAATTATTACAGACAACTTGCTACATTGAAAAAAAAAAATATAAATATTGTTATCCAAAGAAATTCGCACCAGCTCGACAATGTAAAAAAGCTGCAATTACGGTCACATTTGCAGCTATTCATCGGAGGCGCACATACACGCAAGCTCGCAGAGGGTCAAAGAAAGCGAAGAAGGCCCCCGGTAATTTATACATCGAGCTCGAGCATATGCTCGCCGTGTGTGTGTGTGTGTGTGTGTATGAACGAATCATCGTGGAGAATGAGTTTAATAAAGCACAATTTCCGGTGCAATCGTTCCGGCGATATATACATGCCAAACGAAGAGTAGTAGTACGCCGGGGCTCTCGTTTGTATATACGTATGCAACAATGTGTCTAGAAGCGCAATAGCAGCGGCAGCAGCATCGCAGTCATTTCCTCGCTTCAACGAGAGAGAGAGAGAGAGCCCTATATACATATATTTTCTTTTCGCTCTTCGACCTCCTCCGTTATATATACGTATGTACGCGAGTTACTCTTTTTTTTTCCTTCGTTTTGACTATACGCGAACGTGAGCTCGCCCGGTGCATAAAATAATAGTCTATTTTACCGTCGCGTTTGATCATTGAACTCGTTCTTTTTCACCCCCATTCTTTTGTAAGAAAATGCTTGAACCGATACTTTGCGGTTTTCTTTTTTCTACAACTTTTATTTTCCGTTGCCGTAATTTTCGTAAAAATCAACAAATGAAAAATTCATAATTTCAGGAGATAAACGACGCGTGTATAAATATACAAATTTCAGGTTAGCTGCAGCAGCCGTTGCAAAATTGACCGTATTTTTCAGCTAAAAGCTTTATGGCCGCATCGCAGCATTATTTTTTCTTTTTTATACAAATGTGCTCTGGAAAAAAATCGAGAGAAAATATCTTCGAACAGCGAGAAGAAAAGAGCTTCCCAGCGTACTTTTTTTGCATTTAATTAGAAATAATGTCGATCTCTTTTCTAAAATTTGAAAAAATTATCGTCTCTCGCTATCTCGGCACCACAATTGCCACTCGTCCATTTGATTTCAGTCGTGCATTCGTCCACATGCCGCAGATGTATACAGCCGAGCAGACACACACTCTCGCGCACACTCTATGTAAGCGGATAATACGAAAACGATTTAACACGCCGCACACAACAGCTCCGAGAGAGAGAGCACTCGAGAAATAATGCAGCACGTGCGTATACGTGTACGCCTCTGTGTATTAAGCACTCGCGTACATACACTCATAGAGAGAGAGAGAGTGAGTGAGGTCTTGAATCCCGGATAAAGGCAATCTAGATTTGATGCGCGCGTGAACAGCCGGCAGCGTGCAGCTTCTATGCGTATAATATAGCTGTCTGTGTGTCCGCGTGTAAATGCAGTATAATGCGCAACACACGTATACGTACATATATATAAATGCACGCACGTACTCGGAGAAAGAAGTCTTTCTCTCTCTCTCTCGCTCTCTCGCGTGCTCTCGACGCCAAGAGAGCTGCACCGCTGATAAATCTCTGCGCTGCATTTATATATCTACTTTTCTCCTCTGTAACGTCGGCTTGATCCGTTTACGTATTATGTATAAGGTAGTGGCATCATCGAGAGAGAGAGAGAGAGAGAGAGAGAGCTGGTGCGGACGGTACATTCTTTGACGGTGCGCGGCTATTTAACGTCGTCGACGAAGACGAGTTGGAGAGGAAAAAAAAAGTATACCTAAACACACGCGAAGAGACGAGAAAATATACCAAGTGCCCTCTGACGACGATACAATGAAAAAATACCTTAGCATGTGTCTTCTACAAACAAACAAAAACAAAAAAAGGGAAAAAGAAACAGAGAGAGAGCGAGAGAAAAAAAAGAGCAGCAGTGCACCAAACCAGAGATGATGAAGCTACATACTGCCGGAGAATTCCATTGTTATCCCGCGTGTCTGTCTCTCTACGCGTGCGTTTCTCTGGGTCCTTCGCGTTTTCTTCGACGTTGGCTTTTGTGTCGGGGCACTACTCTTTTAGCTGACTTACGTACACGTATATATACGTCCGACTGTTGGACGGTGTAGCTTTGACTTGGCTCTCATCGCGCACCGAAAGGTGTATAGACACGGGGCATGTGCACGAGAGGATCGCGAGCAGAGAGAGAGAGAAAGAGTCGACACGCGGCGACGAAACCCACCGTAACGTCGCAGCACATTGTTTGGCTCGAGCAAACATTGCGCCGTGGTCTGTATAGGTACGCAACTCGGCCATTTAATCAAAAAAGTTGGGGATTACTCTCTAATTACGGCAACGAAGCAGCAACGCTTGTCCGATGCTTTTGCTTTCGTAGAAAGGTAAAAATAATAGTTAAATGGTTTCTGTAAGACAGATGCGTGTTATTCAATTCATATGTTTCTAACTCAAAAATTTGATCGCGCGTTTACATAATTCGGCTGTGCGCCACCTCGCGACCAACTTTTAAAAACAATACGAAGTTCCGTCACGATCGCGATGCGTCTGGCCCAACTCGAAACGCTCTCCTTTTATTTTTCCTTCCCATGTCAAGGCTCGAAGAATCAGAAGCTAGAACGCTTCGTCGTGCGGATTCGTCCTAGCTGCGATGCTTTATATATCATATAACGCAAGCTTTTAGTACATATACAGCTCAATTTAAGCTGCGCGGCGGTCTCGTCGTAAAAGTATCAATCTTCCAAGGAAGCCGCAATATGGGGGGCTTTTGAAAAATATTTTTTTAAAGCGACTCGAACGTCGTAAGTCGAGCGAGTCGCTGTAACGCGTGTATGTGCGTGTGCCATACCCTATGGGACAGTAGACATACGTCGACTACAGCAGAAACATGACCATTTTACCAGAAACCGTAATAGCGATACATCAATTTTCAGCCTCGGCGAGAAACGGAGCTGAAACAGAAGAGAAAAATCTACGAATGTACAGAGAGAGAGGAGCGAGAGAGAGAACGAGAGAAAAAAAAAGTAAAAAACGAAGGGAGTAAGCTCAGCTCGAGAGAGAAAGATAGGGTTTTTTTATTCGAGTCACGGAGAAAAACTTGATCATTCTACGCGCGCCGCTACATAACATATGAAGTTCTTCTTGACTGCCTTCGTATAAAACGCACACGCGTGTACCCACCTCCTCCCTTGCCAGGCACGAGCTTTTATATATTCCGTCAGGAAAGCCGCGCGAGCGAGCGCAGCAGAGCTTTCTGTTCGCACGTCCTGACTCACACACACATACATACACGCGCATTCTCTTGTACTATGTACAATGTATTTGACACGGTGTCTGTGTATGTACATGTGTGTATGGGTATGTATGTATGCGCGTAAACTCCTTCCATTTTATTATATGCCCTTTTTTCAGGCCACGATCGTCTATTATACTTTACAAGATTTTACGCCCCCGCAGGTGTCGTACTACTACTACTCGTACACCGCGTTTTCGCCGCCGAGCTGCCGCGAGACCCAAGATAAACCCCCCCACGAACCGACGACACGGCCGCCTTCCTTGTGAATATACCATGCACACGCGCACACGCACACATACGTATACAGGATGTGTATTATCAGCCTTCATACGCCATATATTTAATATTTGCTCGTGCAGTCGATAGATCGACTATATGGCTGTACATAAAAATGTACAATATTTTTAAGCAAAAATCTCGTAATTTATAAATCATACTAATTTCTCTAAAATTCAACAATATTAACGTCTACGTTTTCTTTGCTTTGTTTACAGGTAAGAAAGTCCAACGTGCCATGCTGTAATACATAAACATCGCAGTCCGGCGTCTAAAAGTACGAATCGGTAAACAAACAAGGCCATACGATGGCTCAGGTAAGATTCGAAACTCGACTGCCGTATAGAAAATAGATCAGAGAGCCGGAGCCACAGTGGAAGTGAACTCGAGCTTTTCTCATCAATCATCTGCACCGCGCGCACGCATACATATAGCGAGCGGATATATCGTTTCATTCCTTGTGAATTGTCTCGCTCTGTGTCTCGCACGCCTGCCGAGACTAATGAGTCGAGAGGGCCTTAGCGAACCGTATTCTCGAGTCGCAGTCGAGCTTTATTTGATATAATAATAATAATAATATATAAATGATCGTTGCAAATGCGGAAGCTATAAGGCTCAAATTGAAAACAGCCCTATATATATTACATAATACACTTGCGAGTACAATTTAACCTTTTTCTCCCCGACCCAGCAGCAGCTGCTAACTCGAAAAAGTGCCATTTATTTCTTTTCGCGCGCCCAGCTAATTTTGTATTGATGAAGATGTTGGATAGTTTAATGGTCCTCTCGAGCTAGAGGATCATAAATCACGCACGCGCGAGCTAGAAAGCAGCAGCCCCATTACCCTTGAACGAGCAATGATTGTCTCGAGTTTAATGCGCCGACTAATTCCCGCGCCTCGATGAAATAAAAATCATGAAATCCTCGTTTTTTTCTCTCTCAACCATCCGCGCGACATCTCGAACGAGGAATAATTTACATTCATCACGATCGAGTTGGGTGCGCGCTGCACAAGTATTTCCCAATCGAGAACTGCAGTCACGGTTATATACGGAGTTCGAATTCATTTCGATATTCGTAAGTCCATGTGCTACATAATTTCCCATGACGAGCCGCTGCCGCCCGGTCCGAGACGGTCGTAAATTAGATAATACCGACGCGTCAAAATCCAAATCGTTCAAAGTGCAATTTCAGATACCACACACTTGCACACACACACCCATGCGCTGAAATTGCCTGCGGTATAAAGTCTGCTCTCTACTGCTGCTGCTGCCTGCCTGTTCGAAAAGATAAAAGTGTCACACGGGGTAAAACATCAGCGATTGTTATCGTGACCAATACCCATAGCAGCTATATAATAAATTGCTTTTTTGTCCATTAAAATGTCCTTGACCATACACACGTATAAGCTCCTCACGTACGCGATGCGTCGGAGAATGATCGGCTCGCGCGCCCGGGTGCCGAAATTAGCGTCGTGAGCTAACAAGATTGCTCTCGCGTTATATATCATATAAAATGGCAGCTGCCTCTCTGACTCGATGAATTATGATCTCTATTGGCGAGCGATATAAATGTTATATACATACACTTTGGAGTTTCTGCTGCTGCTGCTGATGTCGGCTTGCCGTTAAAAAGCATTATATTGTCTGTGATTTCAACTGGAAGTTTCCGATGTCTTGCGATGTGCCTGGGCAGCAGCAGCAGCAGCAGAAGATGCCTAACTTGACTAACAAATCGAAAGTGCACTATGAGAATGAAATGATTAAATCATTCCAAGTATCGCTGACATTTGTGAACCTTGATATGATTTCGATTATCAATTATTTGACGCATTATATCATTGGTAACAATGCTCCACATTAATAATGGCATAAAGACCAAAGAATGTCGACCATTTGAAATATTTTAAAATACATTATTATTCATCAGCTTAATTTTGAGGATTTTTTCATTACAAATATTTTATAACTGTTGAGCGAAATGAACTGAAAATAACAATTTAATTGCTTCCAAAGATTTACACCAGTTAAATATGTTGAAATATTATTATTATTATTATNTTTTCCAAAATATCTTTTTATTTATAACTTATGATATACGTTATTATATGTTATAATTGTTTGTTGTTTTAAAAGATTATTGTTCAGGCCTTGGGTGTTAGCACAAACAGCCAAAGAGTTATTATTATTATTATTATTATTATTATTATTATTATTTATTACCAATCAGTTCGACAGGGGGCATGAGCCCCCTAGTAGGTGGCACTTACAGACTAAATAACAATAACCATCAATAATTCAAATATCACTTTGAATCTCCACCCCTAGATGGCGATTACATTTACCCGTAAATCTGCAAGTGATAAAATACAGATAATCGTATTTAAGACAAAGCATGGTTTTAAAAACCCCAATCACTGATATATCTTTCGTTCAAACTGCATTATACACGTCCTTGACACTTGCGAGTATGGATTTCGCGCGTTGCATCGACATATATGCCGAGTACTATACATAATAATGGTTTACTAATTTCCCGCTTCATACGTCGAGCTATTATGTATAATTCGCAGACCCTTTGATTGGTCATAACACACAAGCACACAACTACATAGTTGATGAACAATCGGTACAAATTAATCCAAACACACACACGCGCGGTGCATTTTTGCATAATAGAATATTACAGCGAGTATATATACCTATGATCGATTCAATAGAGAGACACAACCCGATGAATGAGATTAATTCGGTATTAGCCGCGGCAGGGACATAAATTGACGAACACGCGTTAAATACAATAGCGAAAATAAATGAATTTCCCTCGCGGAAACGACTTTTTTTTCTCTGCGCGCATACGCTGGAGAAAAAGTCGATTGCTTCTAAAAAGATTCATCAAGTCTCTCTACTGTATGTGTCTGTGTGTGTATGTACTGCGCGAAATACACGTTATTTTTATAGCGAATTTCGAATGGAAACGGGATAGGCAAAGAAGAAAAAAAAGAAGCGAAATGGAAATCGGCTACATTTCGAGCTCACCTGATAGAGCCCAGAGGTCGAGCTAGCGAGCTATAGAGCTATACAGAAGCAGCAGCAGCAACAGAGGAAAAAGGAGAGAAAATCCCGTGGCTAATGTATCTCTTCGCGCAATAAATTCCAATGCTGTGCTGCTGTTGCAGTCTGGCAGCAGCGAGCTGCAAACTGCAATCCTGTCGTCCCAGTGTCTCCTTTCACTCTTGTTCTTTCTCTCTTTCTCTATACCCGTGCTCTATTTCTCTGTCTCTCTCTCTCCCTATCTTCTGCTGATTCGTTACTTTTTATCCATTTTTTTTTTGCGCGACACACACCGTGTGTGCATGCAGCATTTGCATAGCCGTGAAACATCCGAACTTCTATATACAGCCGTGATTTTTATTCGTGCACTTGATATACGCGTCAATCTTGACTACTCTGCGATCTCCACGAGTGTTATTTCAAAATGACTTAGTCGAACGGTCGACGGGGAAAAATAAAAATAGAAGACAAAAATACCGAGGGACTGCAATCTGCAAAAAAAAAGAAGCTTTTAAATGTTTAGCAAGTCCTGTGCACACTCGGCTTCTAACGCCCTATCGATTCCCATTAAACGAAACAAGTATACTCTATATGTCTATCGGCCTCTTGCGGAGCTGCGAGTAAATATATCACGTTCTCTCTCTTTCTCTCTCTCCTAGACGTATCTTAAAGCTCATAACGTCACCTCTCGAGTGTGCAGCTATTACACGGAGGCCCGTACGATTTTCTTGGCGTATATTATACTTGGAGAGAGACTATAGGACCGGCGTGCATATACACAGGGTCGAGATTTATGCAAATCGCCAATGCACAAACACACACGTACGTACAGACAAGGCGCAAGTAATAGGCTACCATTGATCACAAGCGATCGCTTGCTCTTTGGCTACCCCTCTCTCTCTCTCTGTCTCGGTAACTATCGCGCGAGGCCAGCAACACCGTATGTATAGCACCTCGTAGTATATCCTGCGCGAGATTAATGCGCTCGCTACGTGATCCCATGCGTGCGCCGCTGCTGCTGCTGCTAAAGCGAATTCTCGTACTGCCACGTGTGTGTTTGTGCGCGTTGCGGGAAAAATTCGACGATCCTCGAGTCGCGCGGATCGATGCGCGTGTGCGTTGCATTTTCTTCTTTGCCGTGTGCATACAAGCGTATATATGTATGAGCCTTGTCTGCGCGCGTGAATTTTGACTGCGCATTTTTCCAACGGTGCGACACCTTCCGCACGTGCGCGCTCGCGTGTACGCGGGTTAAATAAAATTCGACGTTTTACGTGCCGTATCGCTGAAGCTGCTGCTGCTGCTGCTGCTACTACGCGACGCAATAGTCTATGTCGTCACCTACGCCATAGAATATATGAACGCGAGAAAATTTTGTAGAACTTCAAATTTACTTTGAACAACTACAAGACGGATACGCTCGTACGTTACTTTTCTTAAGTGACCAAAGCACGGTTTTTTTGTCAAATCAAAATGAGGCTCATTGTTGAAAATATTTGCTTCAAAATTAATTTAAATGTGATGCAAGGAAGTTTTTTTTCCTTTTAGTAGAGGGATAGAAGTTCATTACCCAAGGAAAAAACCTATTATTATTAAATACCCTGCTTTAACTTATACACTTATTTTTCCTTCGACACATGTTGATTTTTACAGATAAAGGTACTCGCCATCTAGTGGTGGTTACTGGCTTTAATTATGATTAATTTTTCCATTCGATATATTCTATATTAGATGTATTCCATTCGAGCATAAAGTTGAATCTTTTCTGTTAATTTTTGCAGAAATAATGTACCTGAAAGCAATTCTTCAAGTTTTTGAATCTACGTAAAAAAATAAACTAGTCCTGATTCGTTAATTTTTAACGAATACTTTTGTAAAAGTTCCTTCGAATATTAGTTTCAATTACATTGAAGTATTGTAATTCGAAGAAAATATCTCATTTTTTTGCTTGATTCTACGTACACTCGCTTAATTGAATTCGAGAGAAGTCATTTTATTTTTATTAAAATTTGATGTCAGCCATTGATCGACGCCGTCGCCGCTTTGTTATTGCGTCGGACGCAAGGTGGCGAGAGACCAAAAAATTGTAAACACGCGAACAAAACAACGTAGCTAGTTGGATATAGCTCGGAACTTTCATAAGTAAGATAGAAGTTTCTGATATTATTTTTTTGAATCGAAGCGAATATGGTTCCGCATAGAACATCGTTAGAACATCAAAAAGGAAATAGTGATAGGGCTAATTGAATGAAACAATTCACTTG